CACAGATGAACCTTGAGGATCTGATGCTAAGTGAAAGAAGCCAGTCACAGAAAGACCAATACTGTATGATTCCACTTATATGAGGTACCTAGAGAAGTCAAATTCATAGACATAAAGTTGAATGGTAGCTGCCAGGGACTGGGGGAGGAGGGGTGGGGAGCTGTTTAATGGGTTTAGAGTTTCAGGTTTGCAACATAAAGAGTTCTGGAGATTGGTTGCACAACGTGAATGTGCTTAATTCCACTGAATTGTACACTTAGAGCTGATTAAGATTAAATATTAGGGCTTGTGTTTTTTGCCACAATTAAAAATTAAAAAAAAAAAAAAAGATGGGTGGAGGGATGAAAAAAACATTTCTGTTGTGCTTAGGCTGGTGCTGTTTTCATTCTTTCTCTTAAAATTACAAATCTTGAAAGTAGAAAAAGTGGGCTCCATGACCTCTTTTTCATTTGCAAAAACACTTAAGAACAGGAAATGTCATAGAAGGAAAGCCTGAATTTTCTTAAAGGTGTCACATCATCAGAAATCCACACGAGGGCAGGCTGGGCATACTCTTATTGGTAAGAGCAATGAGTGCAAATGCCAGCAGGAAATGACTCTGGACAGAAAATCAATGAGGATGCTCAGATTTTAAGGTTTTATGATGGAGGAATTATAGTCAAATAATTCAAAGTGATATTATGACTTGCCTTCAAATTTGTTTACTAGCTGCACCAGTCCTGCCTGGGTCCCTGGTACCTGTTTAGCTCCATCATGATAGCTGAGTCAGGTGATTCTGAAAGAGCTATTTAAGGAAAACTTTCTTTCCTCTAAAAACATCTCAGGGGGCCTTTCCCTGTTACTGGAAGCCGTGTTTGGGATGGCCTCATGGGAGGCTGTCTGATTGTTTAGGAGCGTGGGCTTTGGACTTGGACAGTACTAGATGCAAATTCTGGCTGGGTTGACCTAGCTGTGGAGTCCTGGGTAAGTTATTTGGTCTGAGTTTGAAGGTAAAATGGAGATAATAATAGTAGGTTATTGTGAATGAGAATCCAAAGAGATGCCTGTAAAACACTTAGCAAGATGCCGGCCATAAAGAAGGCTCCTGGTAAATGTGAGCTGTTGTGGTTGTTTTAATCACTACAGTGATTAGTCATTGCTGATGATTGGCATACTAGCAGAAACCCAATGAAAGTAAAGTAAGAGAAATAAATAAAGCAGCCGTGGAGATGGTGGGAAGCAGGAGCTTGTTGTAGCTCTGAGTTTAAATACTCAGTAAAATACTGTTGAATGACTGATGACCTAACATTTAAGACCTTGGGCTCATCAGTCTTCCTTTTTGAACTTCGTGTTCCTCATGCATGAAACAGAAATTTAATGAGATCACTTGTCCTTACCCCCAGCTGACCATTAGAATCATTCAGGAGAGCTTTTTGAAAAATTCCAGGCTCTGCTCTCTTCCACTTTCCCTACTGTGAATTGGTTGGTCACCCCTAGAATTCTCATGGCTAAGGCTTCCAGTTTGGAACAAATGGCTGTGTACTGTTATCTCATGGTTTTGATTTCCATTTCTCTAGTGTGAGGTCCGATACACCCGGGATGTGTGGAAATTCTGGTCTGATCCTGAGTCTTTTCAGCAAACTGCACCCCCTGCAGTTCTATATTCCTGACCAGTCTCCACTGAGTGGTCCTGTGCTGACTGGAGTGCAGACCAGCTGTCCATGCTGTGTCCCAGTGTCCCCTGGAAGTCCTGTCTCCACCAACCCCCGCACCCTAAACACTTTTCATGGGGTGGGCCATGCACCAGTCCCTTGCGATGACTCACTGGCCTCTGAATGGCTCCTCTTTTCAGTTGCCTGTGGCCTTTTGCTCATATGTGGGTCTGCAGGAACCCTGTTAGTGGTCTGCTGGCCTGGGGGCCACCAAGGCCCTCCTCTCCCTTGCAGTCTCCAAGCAACTTCATACAAAGGGCACAGCTGTGTTTTTTGTAAGCTTTTGCTCCATGTGCTCATCAGGGCCAGCCTTGAAATGGTTGGGGCTCAAAATTGTTGGAGAGGTCCCTTCTTTCTCTCATCACAGCTTCTCCCACCTTTATGATCTCCATAGTTCTCTCCTCTTCCCCTGAGCTCTAGCGGTCCCAGGTTGGCAATCTTTGCTTTTTAATAGTTGTAAATTGGTTGACTGTGGGAGAGAGTGACACTGGGGACAGTCTTGATTCTCCGCTTCCATTCATCTGTTGATGGTCACTAAGGTTGATTCCATATCATCTTGGCTATTGCGAATAAACATGGGGTACAGATACCTTTTTGGTATACTGATTTTCTTTCCTTTGGATAAATACCCAGTGCTGGGACAAATAGATAGGATTATACCAAACCAAAACCTTCTGAAAAGCAAAGGAAACAATAAACAGAGTGTGTGGGAGAAAATATTTGTAAACTATTAATCTGATAAGGGATTAATATCCAGAATATACAAGGAAATCAAACAGTTCAACAGCAAAAATACAAGTTGTTTGATTAAAAAATAAGCAATGGCCCAAGTAGACAGTTCCTAAAAGAAGACATATAAATGGCCAACAGATATATGAAAAAATGCTTAACATTACTAATCATCAGGGAAATGCAAATCAAAACCACAATGAGATACCATCTTACTTTAGTTAGAATGGCTATTATCAAAAAGACAAAAAAAAAACAAACAAACAACAAATGTTGGTGAGGATGAAGAGAAAAGGGAATTCTTATGCACTGTTGTTGGAAATATAAATTAGTATAGCCATTATGGAAAAATAGTATGGAAATTCTTCAAAAAACTAAAGATAAAATGTTTAGGTTTTTTTTAAAAATTTCAATCTTTTAAAATTTATTAAGACTTGTTTTATAGCTTAATATATGGTCTATCCTTGGAGATGTTTTATGTGCAGTTGAGAAGAATACGTATTTTTCTGCTGGTTGGTGGAATGTTTTGTATATGTCTGTTAGGTCTAATTGGATGATAGTGCTACTCGAGTAATCTATTTCCTTCTTGATCTTTTGTCCAGTTGAGGAGTTACTTTTCTCTTGCTGCTTTCAGTATTCTTTGTCCTTGTCTTTTCACACCTCGACTATGATGTTTTTAGGTGTGGGTCTTTGACTTTATCCTACTTGAAGTTTGTTGAGCGTATTGAAGGTGTAAGTTAATATTCATCAAATTTGAGATGTTTTCAGGCAGCATTTCTTCAAAAATTTTTTCCTGGCCCCTTTTCTTTCTCGTCTTCTTTTCTGACTCCTTTTATGTATATCTTGGTATACTTAATCCCAAGTTTGCTGATTCTTCTTCCCGTTCAAACCTGTCGTTGAGCCTCTCCAGTGAAATTTTCATTTCAGTTATTTTACTTTCAACTTTAGAATTTCTATTTGATTCTTTTTAGAAAATGATTTCTGTCTGTCTACTGATATTCTTTATTTGTAAAAACTTTATTTTCGTACTCTCATTTAATTCCCTATGAATATTTAATTCCCCAGTTTTTTCTTTTAAGTTTTTTTTTAAAAGTCTCTTCTTGGTCCCAACAGGTGAGGCCACCTCATGCACCTGCAGTATTATATATAATTGTCATTGATTGCTTTCATGAATGCTCAATAGATAGAGTTGTTCATGCAGAGTGAACTCTAAGTCATGTTAAGTAAAGACAAGTCCTGAGAAGTAAGATTTTCAGCAAGCTTCCAGACAGGCCAAATAGTGACAGTTCTCTGGGGACAGGGTTTTTAGGGAGACCCAAACCAGTTTCCCACCCTCCAATGTCTGCTAGGCTGCTGTTTTTTCACAGCTATCAAGGTTATGGAACTGTTGGATTTCAAGGCTTTCGTGGAGCTGGGGAGAAGGAGATAGAATTAAGGCAAGTTAGGTAAAATGCCACAAGCCTCTTGTTCTAACCAAGATTTAACCATTTTTTTTTCTCGAATAAACACCTTTCATATTTTTACAAAGTTTAGTTAGTTTTTAGAGTTTTAAGAAGTTGGTTGATAGTTCTTGCCAGAGTTCTCATTGCCTTTACGAAGATAGAGAATTTCGGAGTTCCTCTCAGTCCATTCTGGAAGTGAAATCTTAATCCTTTAATCTTACATATGTTTTGAATCTCATAGGAATCACATTCAATCGCCCATTCAATCTACGAACTTTATTTTGAAGCTAGAACTAGGGGGACAGAGGGATGAATCAGACGGTCCCTGGCTCAAGGACTCACATTCTAGGCAAATAGTCCTGTTCCCAGCTAACTTTCCTTTGAGACAGGATGAATTGGAGGCAGAGTGTAAGGAGCAAATCTGCTCTTCCTTAGAGGAACAGAGGGTTCTCTGAGGAATGTGGCCTTAAGAAGCCCTTAAATCGATCCATAAATTATAACCTCAAACTTATTCATCACTCACTGCTGGAGAAGCTCATAGCACACAGGGACAGCAGAATCATGTCTCCCAGCTCCTGGTCACTCCAGGGCATGGTCATGGAATGTGGATAGGATTTGAAGAGGTGGATGGGGGAGGAGAGAGGCACAGTGTTGGCAAAGAGATGGAAAAATTCAGAGAAAGTTCAACCAGAAAGCTGGACTTTTCTGAAGGCAATAGGAATTCTTAAGTGTTTTTTTTTTTAATCGTGTGTAATGTGAGAAGTAGAAAACTAGTTGCCTTTATATGTTCTTCTCAACTTTATTCAACACTATGTAACTGAGCCTTAATGACCCGACTCTGTACCCTGACGTCAGAAAGATGCAGACATGAATCTTGGCTCTAGATGAACGTTGCCATCTGTGTGAGCTAGGGAAGTTCATTTTAACCTTACTGAGCCTCTGTTTCATCTGTGAAGCTGGGAGGGTAATGGCCCTTCTCACAAAAATGTCATAGAGATGAGACGAGATAATATGTATGGACTACCTGACACACAGTAGATGCTTCCTAACTGAGATGTTTGTGGTAATTATGCTTCAAAAATATTTTTAAAATCTAATTATCAATGTTTTATTTTATTTTCTGTGTTTTATCTCACAGAGATAAAGACTGCCAAAAGATATGGGATGCATTCAAAAATGCATTTATTTCCAAGAATCCTTGCAACATTAGAGAAGACGACTATCAACCACTAATGAAGATGGCAAATCAGACTGTACCTTGTAACAAGGTAACTGGGGCAAGTTATAGATTTTAAAACAGGGGATAAAATTCAGAGGGAAGAGGTCACAGGACCAAATTTTGATTAGGATGAAGGAAGAGGAAAAATCTGGGCATTAGAATGTGGATATGGTTAGTAGAAATGGAGTTTGTGGGGCCATTGTGGGGACCCTGATATCATCAGGATTTAGGACATCCGAGGAAAGGAAGAAAGAGACAGAAATGGGGATATGGAGAGAAGAATGAGAACTGGAAAAATCAGGCAAAACAAACCTAATATCAAACTGCACTCAAACAAACAAAAATAATCCTACCTTATAGAATTACAAAACTTTCCCCTGATCTGATTATAATAACAATAACAATAACAATAACAATAATAAATAACAATGTCAATTTGCATTTGCAGAGTGCTCTTCTGCTTGCAAAGGACTCTCCTAACCCTTATTTTCTTAGGCCTTCACAGCCATCCTGTGGAATAGGCAGGTCAGGTGTCAGCATTCCCATTTCACCAGTGAAAAAACTGCAGCGTAGTGAGTTTAGGTGGCTGCCCAGATTTGGCAGGCTTGAAAGTGAGTGACTCTTTGAAATGTAACTAGTACAAGACTTGGAGCAATAGAGGTCTGGGTTTCAATACATTGATTATCCTGGATAAGGTCCATCATGGAGTGCATCTTTTCTAAAGTCAGTGCTTAAGGCAAAAATTCCACATACTTGAAATTGTCTTTGTGAAACTCTTAAATGCATCCACAAATGACGGCCTCTCATCCCATCGTTAGCAAGCTGGAGTTATTTTGGAGCTTCTGTTGGGCACCAAGCACAGTGCCTTCTATGGAGGAGGTGCTTGGCAAATAATAACCCAGGCTGACATTTGTCGAAAAGTGACTGTGGGACAGACACTGTGCTAAGCAATTTATTCACATTATCTCATTTTATCTCCCCAGGATCCCCTGAGTTTAGAACAGTCATTGTCGTTACCATTTTATAGATGTGGAAAGTGAGGCTTAGTGATGCTTTGATTGCCCAAGGTCAGTTGGCTAATAGGTGGGATGCTGGGGCTTCAGTAAGGAGTGACTCCAGGCCCGTGCTCCGAGATACCACCCTCCTCTGCCTCCTATTGAGAATGAATAGATTCATGGAAAAGAGTGTTATTCAGAAATGTGACTGTCTGTACCTTTAGAAGAGACCTTGAAAAAAACCCCAGTTTTTTTTTTTTGTTTGTTTGTTTTCCTGGTGGGGTTAGGAGAGATCTGGGGAAAGCGGAAGGGATTATGGAACTCTTTGAGAATCCAACAGCACTTTCAAAAAATAGCACATAGACAACAGTTTTTTGTAGATCCCTTTAGTAATATTGGAACTCCCTAATGCCTCCTCCAGATGAGGACTGATCTTACATTATTTATAAGGTTTCAATCGGTGGCTTTTAGACTTTCAATTGCAACCCAGAACAGTAAATTCATTTTACATTGTTACCTAGAACACACACACACACACACACACACACACACACACACACGCTGTTGTGCTCTCTCTCACACACAAAGCAAAATGCACACAACAATCATCACCCTTACTATATGTGATTCAGTCTGGAATGTTCTGTTTTCTTTCATTTATGAAAATGTAGATTTATTTATTTATTTTTACCTACTAAATTCATCTCAATAATAGGCTGTGTTTATTCTTTCTTAGACCCTCTTATGGAGCAAGACTAATGAGCTGGCCCATCAGTACACACGGGTCCGGCAGGATATGTTCACCTTGGAGGACACGCTGCTGGGCTACATCGCTGATAACCTCATGTGGTGCGGCGATGCGAGCTCTTCTGGTGAGGAGCTGGGCCACGTGGGACTGCCGGGGAGGTGCAGGGTCAAGGAGCCCTGAGCTCTGCTAGGGGCCCTAAAGATCGGGCTGGGGAAATAGGCCATAAGCACCTACCCTGACGCTATCTCCACCCTTACTGACAACTCAGGCTGTGTACCATAGCATTCCCTAGACCAATCCCTGTTTTACTGAAAAATTGACTTCTGAGTTTGGGGTTGCCCTTGCTCCCTGATTCCATCTTTTTTTTTTAAGTGTTCATGGATCCTGTTTCTGAATTATTTGTATTGTGCTTTCTTATAAGGGCATCATTCGGGACCAAAGAATTCCAGAACAGGATGAGGCCTCAGAGGGACTGAGGCCAAAGTCCTTGTTCTATAGAACCACTGTGGCAGCCTGTGGCAGCCATGGGGTGGGCTCCTCTGCATCTCAGGCCAGTCTGTGGCTATGACGTCATTTTTCAGAGATGGCCTTATCCTGCCCAGAAAGACCCAGAACATCTCACTGTGGGAAGGTATTTTCTACTCACAAAACCCTATGGGGCCTGTTTTCACTTTTTTTTTCTTTCTCTTTTTATTTATACAGTGGATATTTTTACTTTATATTGTTTTATTTTTATTGCTTTTGACCATTTGTTTTTAAAAACTTATGTTATTGTAGCTTCTTCATTCCTGGTTTGCACTATTTTCAATTATAAAAATGAAGCATTCTTATTTAAAAAAACAACTTGCATATTACAGAAATGCACACAAGTAAAAAGTGAAGGGCACCCCGCATCCTTCCCCCACCCTCTCCACGTTGCTTCTCAAAGGGCAGTTATTGTCCACAATTTGGTGCATATCCTTCCAGACTTTTCCCTATACCCATATAAATATATATATTTAAAATGTGCACATACTGTTCTGCAACTTGCATAATTCACTTAAAATTAGTAAGGATAAAGATAACCATATTCTTTTAAAAGGCTTCATCACTAACCAATCCTATTGGTAGACATTTGGGTTATTTTGGTTTTTGTTGCTTTTACAACCACCGTTGCAAAAAACACTTTAGTGTATGCACATACACTGCATGCTTGAAGTATATTATAAATGTAATTTCAGTGTTAAAGGATAAATTGTGATAAAAACTAATAAAATGTCATTTAAAAGATGGTAACAATTTATACTCTCTTCAAGAGTATATAGGAGGTTGTTTATTTACCTATACCCTCACTGATACTAGGTAATATTTGAAAATTTTTTGACCCATTGGTAAAAACATAATACCTTGCTATATTTTGAATTTCTTTGATTGTGAGGCTAAGCATATATATTAATGGTAGATATTTCTATTGATTATGTAAACCGGCAGTTTATTATTTTAACTATCTTTATTGAGTTTATTTTCTTAATAGTAGATGTTCATTATAAATTAATAATAAGAGCTAATGCTAATAATAAGAGTAATGCTTACTGGGCACTTACAAAGTTCCCACGTTTTACACGCTTTATGAGTATTCACTCATTTAATCCACAGCACCATGAGGCCCCATAGGATCCCATTTTACAGATGAGAAGTCTGAGGCACAATTATGTTACTTGCCAGCTGGCAAGTGGCAGATCTGGGAGCAAACAGAGAAAGACTGGCTTGTGAACTTGTGCTTCTAGCTGTTGTATTGTTCTGCCTGTTTTCCGGCACAAGGTGGCAAATCTATTTTTCTTAGTTTGAACTTTTCTTTTAATCTTGTTTATAGTCTGTCTTTTGCCACACAGAAATGCAGAAAACCTGTTGGTCCTTTTCCTCATGGCTTCTTGTTAAAAAGATTTTCCTCACACCAAGATTAGAGAAGTGTTCTATATTTTCATCCACTAGTTTCACTTTTGTAATGTTTAAATTTACACTTAATTCTGAGTCTTCCCACCCAGAATATGGTATATGATTATGTTTCTCCATTTATTCTCTTTTTTTATTAAGTTTTATAGTTTTTGCCATGTTTCCCGTTTTCCTTTCTAAATTTCTTTTTTAACAATTTAACTCTTTTCTTGGTCATTCATTTAACATTTTTAGCTTTTAAATTTGTTTACAGTAAACTTTTCTCCTTTGGTTTTATTTTTCCATTCACCACATCAATTCTTCCTGGGAATGAAATGGTGATAGAGAAAATAATCTATTTTTGTAAATCTATTTGCATTATTTTTTGCTTTCTTTTAAATTGAATTTTGTATATGTTGTTTATTTTATCTACTTTCTTCTTCAGCTTCAATTTTTATTAATTTCAATCTCTTTCTCACTATTATATTGGCTATTTTTCAGGTTCATGATTTTTTATATATATGCATATATATATATATAAACTTTTTTATTTAACTGTAAATTGACAATTTATAATTGTATATATTTATGGGGCAAAAACTGATATTATGATTTATGAATACAATGTGGAATAATTAAATCAACCTAACCAACACATCCATCATCTGAAATACTTGGCACTTTTTGTAGTGAGAACATTTAAAATCTACTCTTAGCAATATTGAAATGTACAATGTTCTATTAACTATATACACCACACTGTGCAATAGATCTCAAAAAAAACCTTATTCCTCCTGTTTAACTAAGATTTTGTACCCTTTGATCATCATCTCGCCATCCCTGCACATGCCCAGCCTCCCTAACCACCGTTCTACTCTCCGCTTCTATGAGTTTGATTGTTTTAGATTCCACACATACATGAGAACACGTGGTATTTTTCTTTCAGTGCCTGGCTTATTTCACTTAATGTAAAGTTCTCCAATTCCATCTATGTTGTCACCAATGACAGAATTTTCTTCTTTTTTAAAGGTTGAATAATATTCCATTGTGCATATATGCCACATTTTCTTTATCCATTTATCCACTGTTGGACACTTAGGTTGATTCCGTAACCTGGCTATTGTAAATAGTGCTGTAACGAGCACGTGCATGCAGACATCTCTTTGACAAACCGATTTCAAATCTTTTGGGTAAACACACTGAAGTGGGAGTGCTGGGCCATGTGATAATTCTATTTTTAGTTTTTCGAGGAAAATCGATATAGTTTTCCATAATGGAAAACTAGTTTACGTTCATACTAACAGTGTTCAAGGGTTCCCACTTCACCACATCCTCACCAATACTTGTTTTCTTTAGTCTTTTTGAGAAGGGCCATTCTGACAAGTGTGAGATGATATCTCATTGTGGTTTTAATTTGCATTTCCCTAATGATAAGAGATGTTGAGTATTTTCTCTCTTGGTCATTTGTATGTCTTCTTTTGAAAAATGTCTATTTATTTTCATAGCCTATTTTTTAATTGAGTTTTTTTGTTTCCTTGCTATGGAGTTGTTTGGGTTCCTCATATATCTTGGATCTTAACCCCTTATCCAATGTATGGTTTGCATATGTTTTCTCCTATTCTGTGGGTTGTCTCTTCACACAGTTAATTATTTACTTTGTTGAGCAGTTGAAATGAAAGTGTTCTTATCCTTCCAATTTGGTTTTCCTTCAGTTCTGCAGACCACATGGGTGTCTTGTTCTTTTTTCCCAGTATTGGAGCTTTCAAAAAGATGTTCTGGTCTGTGGATAGTTGCTAGTTGGACTTTCTGTGGGTGGGGGGTTGGGGGGAGGAGTAAAGCCTGAGACTTCCTGCTGCTCCATCTTGCTGATGTTACTTCTCCAGGCCATAAGTATTTAGTTCTGGAGGATGAGAAGTCCAAGGTGAAGGCGCTGGCAGATTCAGTGTCCAGTGAAGGCTTACGCTCTGCTTCCAAGATGGCACTTTGTAGCTGCAGCCTCACATGGCAGAAGGCAGAAGGGCAAAAGGGTCTGATCTTTGTATTTTCATTTTTCTATATTCTGGCTTAAATGTTTTTCTTAATTTTTCTTTACCTGACTTAGTTTTACCTCATTTATTGCTTTTACTATGAAGTTCTTAATTTATGTTATAGCTGTCTAATCTCTTTTTCTTTTGCCTTTTTGTATTCTTAATTTAATTTCTCTACTTGTCAAATTTCCTTTTTCTTTTTACTGCTAACTTTATATTTTTATTTAATGATGTGTTTGCATAATGGTAGGCAGCAAGGGGCAAGTATCCTAGTGTGGAGAGGGAAAGTGACAAATAGGACATTTTTTCTTCTAGATGTGGTTGTGAAGATAAAAGGGGTTTATGTTTATGAAAACCTATAAACTGTAAGCACTTTACAAAATGTATGTTCATTTTATCATCAACATTTTTCCTCCATTGGGAGACGATTCAAATTCATCTTTTGAATCCGTGATAATTATTTACATGTATACATGGAAATGTTTTTATTTATTTATTTTATTTGTAGTGACTTTTGTTCTTAAAGCATTTAATTATTGTAAAACTTCCAGAATTACTTTATCAATCTAGGAAAGGATTCCAATCTAGAACTTTCCTTGCTGTCACTACCAGTGTTTTATACTCAAGAACTGTCTGTGGTCTGTGTGTATTAGTTTCCTGTGGCTGTTGTAAGAAAGTACCATAAATTGGGTGGCTTTAAAAAGTAGAAATTTACGGATTTATTTTTCTTTTTTGGCGGCTGGGCAGTCCAGAGATCCAAACTTGCGACCTTGGTGTTATAAGGCTGCACTCTAACCAACCAGGCTAACCAGCCAGAGGCCATGACAGTCGATTACATTGCATAATGTTGAACATACTAATCATCCTGATTTGAACATCACATACTGCACACAGGTATTGATATTCAACATTGTACCCCACAGATATGTACAATCAACTATGTTCCAATTTAAAAAGAAGGAAATTATAAAAAAGAAAATTGAAAGACTATCATTAAAAAAGCAATAACACAAAAATCATGTTTATTTTACACAGTCCTGTATCAATAAATAATATAAAAAAAAAACCAATAGAAATTTACTGTGTTACAGTTATGGAGGCTTGAAGTTCAAAACCAAGGTGTCGGCTGGGCCAGGCTCTCTCTGATCGCTCTAGGGGAGGAACTTTCTTTGCCTTTTCCAGCTAT